TAGATATTAGCAAGTTTCCTTGGAATAGGTCGAATCTTTCTTTGCATATTCGCGCTTATAAACTGATTAGAAGCGTATAGTAAATTTACCGCCTGTTATCGATGTGAGGATGCCCAAAAAATCGCCGCTCGGAACGGAATGTGTAGGCAATGTGAAACGCTGCTGCGACAAATATATCAGTAAACATTGGTTGGATTTCACTTCGAAAACATTTTTAATAGTGAGTACAATCATGTACATTAGTTTGTTGAAACACAGTAACAGGAATATTGCATTTTTGTCCTTTTTTTATCGTAAATGTTTACAGCGTTATCTTGTATCTTTCAATTTATCCACTGGATAGTGGATTTAAACTACCTCCGGACCTTGGATAAATTTATCCAGTAGATAGCGATTTTTATCTGGGGCCGGTTGTATGAAAGCCGGATAGCGCTATCCACCGGATAGTGATTTTTTCAATCGCTTTAAAATCGCCCATTGTTGGGTATAACTTTGATTAAATCTTAGTTTTCCTAAATTGAGGATCCTCTTTAACAAAATTTGGCTACAAAGCTGAAATTTTATAGCTATTCAAGCATTAATTTTTTAGAAGGGTTGAAAAAATCACTATCCGTTGGATAGCGACTTATCCACCTTTCGTACAACCGGCCCCTGCTGGATAAAGTTATCCAAGCTTCGTGCAACGCAAATCACACGCTGGATAAAACTTATCCGTTGGATAGCGAGTTATCCGTTGGGTAGCGACTTATCCACCTTTCGAACAACCGGCCCCAGTTAGGGATGGGGCACGCATTAAAACAATGGACATTTCATTACCCATTGTTGTTAATGCACTCACATGCACGAGGTTTAAAGTAAATCAAATTCAATATGAATCTTAAATTGTCACCTTGCGGTCAATGGCCGATACGGAAAAAAGCTAGCCACATTTTGAAGGTAAACTATATGAATGAAGAACTTATAGGCAGAGATGAGATGTGCCACTAGTGCCAACCATTAGGAATGAAAGTTTGGAAGCGACGAAGCGGCGTGATGTCTTACAGTTTACTTCACCTGAGCAAGATTCACATGCACATTATTTGTTCACGTGTATATATATACTTTCGTCGAACTGAATTGATCATACGGTATGAAAATAACATTCTTATTATGCCAAATTAAAAGTAAAATGGTGATTACAGCTATATTGGGTGCATGTTTATGGTTAGCTCTCAAATTAGCGAGCTTCGGCAACACATGAACAAGAAAATTTGTACACAACAGAGCAATGGTTATAGGCTAAAATTATATGACAAATAAGTTGTTAGACTCATGCAATGCCAATATTGTACTAAAGACTCTGTTTCACGGTGCAATATCTCATGTCATTTGTCTCGAAACCAATGGAAGTCCGCTCTACTTATAGTGAAAGGCTCAATGCGACTTACAGTGCACGGACGTTAAACGCATTAAAAATTGTAACAGGGCCTTATAAACTCTGCCTTTGTATTTTGAAATATGAATTTGAAAACTCGCAGGGAAAGCCAGGAGATTTATCCAGGCTTTTGATTGACAGTTCTCAGGCTGAAGGCACTAACGAGAATGCAGAGTTGACTATCTCAATGTCTTTGTTGCTGTTTTACTGCCTTAAGGTTGATCAAAATGCCGATAATACAGTAAAAGTTTGATGTTTATGAATGAACTCTGCTATTGTTTAATTCATTGCCTCCTATATCATGCAGAGACTGGGGAGAGTATTCAGGGGTTAATTAAGGTGGTTTTTAGTCGATATAATTTTTTTCGAACCATATCCGTTCCATATATGTTTAATAACAGTGTTTTTTGTATGTAAAAGAAAAATTTGGAAAGAATAAAATAAATTTGGAAAGAACCTAAAAACACCCAAAAGAGATCATCCAGCTCTATGCCACAATCTAACCGGTGATATTACAACCAGCTGCGATATACCAGCATAGATTACAACTACGAAAGGTGCAAGGACAGTTGCTATAGGAAGAACTCCCCCCATAACTCACATCTTAACGGCCGTCTAAGGGGGAGATGCACTACGGCCCCCAGACCATGATGTATGTGCACCTAACCGTTACGTCTCAGTGAGAAACAGAGTGGGCTGTATGCCACACGCCTAGCGCGTCATAGACGAATCAGCTACAGTGGCAAGCCTTGAGAGCGATGATAAATTTAAGGTATTTAAGCTTTTCCTGGTCTCGAGGGGCGGTCCCTAACAAGTATATGCATAGAAAACGACTAATAAGACACACGCTTGGAAATGTCAAGATTTAAACGCCTAAACGTTTTTTAAGTGTTTTTAACGAGAAATTTTAGTGTTTTGATATTCTTTTAGAAATTTTATTGTTTTGAAACAATCCTTGTTGGTTTTTAACGTCAAAATAGTCATCATTCTCGAAAGGAAACTCAATATAAATGACTGAACGGCTTAGTTTACAAAAATGAAGGTCTGAAAACTTAGCACGAGTTCCCGTAATGGATTAGAGCGTGAAAGATCAACAAATCCTCAAGACTGTTATCCAGTTTATTGCAGCCTTGGGTATTTGTGCCAACCTTTTTGAAGGAGTAGGTGCAGCCTTTATACAAAGAGCGATTATATATACAAGTTATTATCGTGATACGAATAACTTGCGATATCATAAAGTATGAGAATATTTTATTGGAGGTTGGTGCAGCTATTTTCTCATACGTGCTAATAACATGCATGCACGTATAGTCTCATTCAATTTAGAAATTTGCGCAGTGTTTTCCCTGTGATAATTATTTAAGAAGATATATTATTTGTCTTATTATTTGTATTATTTAAATGCTGAAATTATATTAATATATCATAGGCATCAACTGAAAGAAGAAAAATATTATTCTGATTATTTATCACCTGTAATGCACCAACGTAGGCCATGCCTTTACTTCCCCCTCCTTCAAAAACTAAATTCTCAAATGGATATTCATGGTTGCTGATGTATAGGTCTTCTAATGTTCTGTTCCCCTCAAGGAACTTCGATTCCAAATAGGGTGATGCGGTCATAATCAAACTTGTTGCTGAAACTATCGAATCTCCCGGTGTTGCCATCTTGTTAGGTGTAAGCTGAGGTGAAGAAGTTTTAGTTCTCAAGTCGCTAGGAAAACTGCTATTCCGAAGTTTAACACTAAGAGTTGCTGGTGAATGCTGGTGATGATTCATTTCTGACGGTTCTTCGTACAGGTTCTCGGGGACATCGACTTCAGCTGTGACTTTGACGAGTGTTTTGCGATAACTTACTTTTTTGGTGTTCTCCATGTGCTTTGGGGATTTATTCGGATAATTTTTGGCATTGAACGAGGTTTTAGGCAGCGAGCACGTTGTTGTATTAGGATTATGCATGATAATCTGTCCAATATCTCCTCCACCTCGTCGATTAGGAAGACATACGCGATTAAACTTTGGTAAACCTAATTTGAACAAAGAATTGTCAGTGTATTTGCTGGACGAACATCACGAATTGCATTAATTACTACAGTCAAAATGAGACGAAATATCACGCACAGCGTTTGCGTTAGTAACCAAAGTCCAAAGATGAAATACACCAACAATATTGGAATATTTTTTTTGAAACGAACCAGCGGAAACAAAAACGAAATGCAATATAGTCGTAGGTCGATCGTGGGGTTATTCACTTCCACGCTAAAGACTTTATATGACAGAATGCTAATAAAGTTGCAATCGTTCTCTTCCTGTCCGATATTCCCTCGTGGGTCATAGGCCTACATATATGAGAAGTATAGAACTGTCGCGAAGAAGAGTCGCCTAAATCCAAATCTAATAACGTTTCGCTCAACTATTTCATTTACAAAAATACCTATTAATAGTTCTCGAGAACAATATTCTTCAAAATTTTAATAGGAAGCCTATATTTCCAGCATTCAGTCCTTAGTAAAATCAAATCTGATTACATATTGAAGTTCCCTTCTCTCCTATATATAGCAACTATCATTGTTGATGCTAAAGAGGGAAATAGACGCATATGCTATTGTACATCATAGTACTGTTTCCTTTCTTGATGTTCCTTTGATTAAGATAGGAATTTCGAATGTTTGAGTACTGTACTATCATTTTAATTGACAACGTACTGACGTATATATAGAACTTCATAAATTAACAACACAACATGGACAAATAGGTAGGCAGTTTATCACACTACCCGTGTTGTTGTAATGACAGAAAAATAGCACTTCGACAATAGAATAACGATGAAACAGATCTGATCTCAGTTTTCCATATAATATTTATATGGTTGCTATGTATACTAAAACTATAATATCACTGTACAATTAAAATGCATCTCCTTTATTTACTTACTGACTTCTGTGATCTCAGATACTTTATTAACGTTGTCCTAGATAGAAGCTCTGCATTCGTCTGTGAACCCCGAACTATGAAGCTCTTTGTTGTTCTCGACTAGGTCACGCTTTCATTTAGCGAAAGTTCTCCGGCTTTAGTATTGACGACTGAAGTACTAATGTATCAAAGCTTCCAGCCAGTGAAAAGCAGTAATCTTCTGTTCATTAATTAAACTTCGATCAATATTATGAATTTATTAAGTAATTATGTAAATCAAACTTGCTCTTGGTTTGTTAACCCGTGTATTACCGCGCATTTTAAACAAAAAAATAACAAAATCAATCAAACTTAAGTCCAAATTAAAATTCTCTGAATAGCTACGTGTAAATGATCTGTGAGAAGTTCACAATTTGAATCAAAAGTGTGTAATTCGATCTATTGAGAATTGAGTGCATCCTCGGATATTAATTACAAACTTGTTCATCATGATTAACCATGAGAGGGGTGAACAAAAGTTAGTGCATTAGTGCAAAGACGTGAAACGTTGAATCAGATCATAGTTAATACAATACGACAATATGATAATAATAATATTACGTTAGGTGTGATGTTTTTTACAAACTGACTATTAGGCATGACCAAAATGATCTATCGAAAAAAAGAACTTCATTATTATATTATTTCGGATAAATATTTACAACATTTTTTTTTGTTACCAATTAAAAAGACGTTTTCCCAATGCCGAATATTTAACAAGAGCATGATTATAGGTCCGAGTTCAAGGAGTTTTCATTATCTTACATAATTTTGTATCTACGGAAAGATGTGCCAACTGATGAGATCTATCAGGGTGTTTTACAGCGCCCTGGATCTATTAACCTTGTGCGCGAACGTTTGGAGCAATTATTTTCACAAAATCTCCATATAATATTGACACATACACGCACGTTTTCAGAAAGAGTCCGATATAAATTAAATATTAAGATACTTATTTTGCATATAGTGCATACTGAGAAAGAACACGCAATGTTATAAAGTGCTTTCTCTTAAATAATTATATGCCAAACAAAGGGCTGTGAATTTTTTTCTATTTTTTGAAAGTTTCATGTTTGCAGCCTCACACCAAAAAGCTCTTGGTACCCAAGATTGCATATGGACTACTTTTGGGATCATTTCCTATGAGATAATCCCCCAATACGCTGTCCAATGCTTGAAACAATCTTCCTGTAGGCGTTTACAAACTAAAATGAGATAAAATTTACATTATGGTTGGATCATGATTCTTTGCTAATTTAGTTAGTTTAAAGTCGCAATTACAAAATATAAATATTAAATTAAACCTTGTTGTCATCGTTTACATCAATCATCATGCATACATACTTTATAAATTTGCATATTAAAAGAGTAACGAAGATGATAAACATTTGAAAACTGACATTGTAACTATTATTTACTTTCCTTGAAATGAGGAAAAAGTATTTTTTATTGCTATTTCCCGGCATGGTTGGTATAACTGAGTGCGGCGGTAAATGAAAATATAGCTACGTACGGTCTATAAATTCCAAGACGAGTCAGAAGAGCAACCATACCGACATCAAAAAACTCCAGAACGGTCAAGATACTAGCACCAAGAAACAATCCCATCAATCCACCGATCTCACCTAGAAGGTTGAAAGAGTAAACTACTCTGTATATCTAACACTCGCGGTTAACTTATAAATACACGATTCAGGTTGGCCAATTTCGTCACAAACTACAGTATATAGTTAAAAGTTACCTATCTTTTATACAACCGGCCCCTACAGATTTCTATCAAAATAGTATTCTTTGAATATCCTGCTTTTATATTATCTCTATATCAATAGCATATTTCAATAGCATATTTACCAAGTAAATTCGGCAAAGAATACGCCGGCACTTGTTTGATAACGTGATAGTTTAAATCTTCGTAAAATATATCCATTGCAAGTAGATTTTTGCTGCAAATAGATAGAAACTTATCATGATTATTAACTGCTGAAATACAACCCAATGTTTTCCTCTAGGCACGTCGATAGTCTATATTACCCTGCTTGGTTCAAAAATATTACTGAAGTGAAAGGTTGTGCATGCATGCATTAGGAAACTATAAATTGTTTAAGTTTAAATCATCTGGTTATATTTTTACGTTTAAGCAAGTTAACAATTTTTAAGAAATTGGACTATGTTTGTTTATAGTTATATATGCCTTTGCAAAAATTGCTGTATCTTTAATATGTTTTTAAATTTGATTTAGCTACTAAAATATTTACAGGGTGCATGAAAAACGGAGCCCAAACTTAATGCTTACACTTCCAAGAAATCAGTCGTATTCATTTTGCTCGATCAAGACATGCAATTGACTTTAATTAGTTCTTTTGTAGAAAATGATATTGTGCATGTCGGGAAGGCAGGAGGAAGTCGTGGTCACGTGGCGTATGAAGGTAAGTTAAAAACATTTTAAAGATACAGGAATGTTTAATCTATTTAATGTTTTCTTTTTCATAATAAGAATAACAAATACCATGTAAATTCATCTTCCTCGTCTGTATCATTAACCTCGTCATATTGTCTTAGTGCCGCACTTATGTCATCACATTGCCTTAAACAGAAATAAAGACGTTGTCGCGAGCTTCTTTTGGTGTACGTTTGTTAGTATCACAGGCAGGGATAATTTCATGAAAGTTCATGGTATTTTTATCTGAATTTATTCTTAATGTTTTTTTTATTATGTCATTCTTTTGAATGCCTAACCGTACGAAAAGCTACACTTTCCAATAATTTAATCGTAGTAGTTACGACGATCACTAAAGTCAGGACTCCGTTTTTGACACACCCTCTTGGTTGATAATCCTGGTATAATTCTATTTATATAAAACCATCGAAGAAACAGCCTGAGAAGCACCATTTAGTTTGCATTCAAACCATAGAGACAGTTCTTCTTCAAATATATATATTCCTGGGACCATCTTGGAATTAGGAATTCGATAGTTAAACTTATTTCTTATACGTATTTTTTGGTAGAAACGATATTCTTCTTAATTTACCCTAATTTTTTACTATTATTTTCCACTGCTTAAAGTTTACTTCCAGCGGTACATTTTATGAACTATTCGAATATGTGTGAATGCTTAATTTCACTGGGTTATGGTAATATGGTTAACAGATATTGTATCTGTGGTTAAATAATAAGACTTGGTGCGTATACATGCATAAATATGCAGTGGAAATGTAATAAAGACTTTCAAAATACCGGAAAGGTGACAGAAATGTTAGCACATCGGAAAAGAGCATAAAGTTGTGTTTTTCTTATCGTTGCACGAAAACACGATACAAATAATCAAAATGAATGCGAGTATTTTCCTCCTGCATTCATTGTGACCATTTACGTTCGACAACGGGTTTGAATTATTTTTAAAATATTTAAATCATCATGTCACATACGTGAAACTCTTCAATGCTTTAACTGAACCATTTGCATATTCTTTCGCTGCTTCTACACCAGGAAATGTACCATAAGATAGATAAGTAGAATACTTCATTGTGTCACACGGTTCTGTACATTGACAATTATCCAACGATGAACTGGAGAATTCCCCTAAAATAAGAGAGAAAAACGAAATGAAATCTAAAGGATTAACTGACGACAGGTTTTTCATACGAGGCATACAAACCTTCAATGCGAAGAACACAGTCAAAATATTTTTCAACGGTACATTTTTGTTTGAACTCTGTAATATTTTCTATATGAAGAGAATATTTACAACAAATAGACGGAGTTGCCAGTGATGAAATAAATACAACGATTATCAAAAATCAAAAATGAAATGAACGAATCACTAAAAATCTAGTTTTTCGTGAGCTTTGAAAATTTGAAATACTCGATTACCTTTCATATAGAATGGCCGACAGCGGCATTCTTTGGCAATGTGATTTTGCTTGCAATTTTCATGGCATGCAGCAATAGTGTATGCTTTGATCCCAGGCAGATCTTTATCTTGGCACATTGTTTTGAAAGGGGATTTGAGAGACTTCGTCTGTAACAAATAACCGGCAAAGTTATACTCCCAGATCTGCCCCTCATCTTTATGACTTATTTGCTGCATGATAATCGTCTTTAGTTACAGAGCACATAAATCGGAAGTAAACCTACAGGGCCGCTCTCAGAATGTTTCTCAGGGGGGGCTGAATTCTTCTTTCAACCGACTGACTATATAGTTTGTATGTATAGTTTATAGTCTTATATGAAAACTATTTTTTAAGATATACTAAATGACGCCCGTTCGTACTAGTAACTAGTAACTAATGCATTTTTTTTTCAACCTGTTTGAAAAAATGCGTTACGTTGTACCGCGCGCCATGAACACAGAAGACCCTGGGAACGAGGTTAATTTTTCTTAAAAAAAACACGCGAGGACGAATTGGCCAATCACAACTAGTGTAAGCGCTAACCATTCAAACGTAGACTCACTCTTTGTCTTGATATACTTGCGAAGACATGCGAACCAGGCATGACTGCAAAACCCAAACTCGACACAAGTGGCGGTTCATCTGGATCATGAATTCTTATTCGTAAACCTGCCGAAAATGCCACGTGACCTACATATTCGTCTTGTTCAACCGACATCCTCAAATGTAGTCCAAATTGTTTTCCTGGGGCGTTCACCTTTCGAATTGGCGTATCTTTCCCTGTGGGATAAAATCACAATAATTGCAATGAATCTTATGATACAATGGAAATATATTAATAAAAGGAAATCACCCAGGTGCTTTTCTAGGCCAACAAAAATAAACAAGCATTTGATAAGACAGTATTGACTATTCTGCTGTTTCACAGATAGTTTTGACTGTAGTTTACCCAGGCATAATTATATAGACTGCATGATGCATGCGACTCATCGACACTGAAGTACCACAAAGTATACCATAAAGAGACCTCGGGATAAAGTACATAAATACCTGAGTTAAACATATAACACAGTCCCATATCTGTCAGTATTCTTGTGAAGTTCATTTCACCACATTTCTTTCCTTTCCATTTGCAGCCATAGAGCATTCCCTTTCCGGTAGTCTCATTATAACTCATTTGATGTCCTGCTTTCAGAATTAGGTCCTCGACGTCTATAGTATTTACGTTGGCATATTTCTTCCAATCAATTGTAATATTTTTAGGATAGAGCGGATTTTTCTCTTTTAGTACTTCGTAGAACTCAGTGTTGTTTATTTCACTTTTCCGGTACATGTTGAAGTTGCACAATGTGACAGCAGGAAAACTGCTTTCCCGTTCGGTTACAAACTCAATCGTACTGCTCACATTGTAATCTAAAAAGGCTAAAGCTAAATTCAGTGTTTGCCACAAGAACAAAGAGAACATCAACGCATTCAAAATAAGCCAAAATAGGCGCTGTGGAACTGGACGCTTCTCGAAAACGTAATGCAAGCCATGTAGTGTTGACTGTGCTACAAATTGGTCCCAAATATTGCGAGAGTATCTCTGTCTTTTATCTTTATAATGAGGTTTCTGGTACCCGCCATTAAATTCTTTAACGTCATCAGCATCCATTATTCTGTCTAAAATCATTAAAAAGGAATTAATAGTTTTTCCATGTGTATGCTGAAGAAATCAATTTTGCTTCAAGCTTTTGAGTGTAAGGCGGTTCTAATTTGAAAACAAAATCATATAGCCTTTAAAAAATTAAGAATGATGTTGTGATGTTATGAAATTAAGTGTATAGCTATAGAACTAGGTTTATTAATTAAAATAAATTTATCCCTGCAAATCAAGGGAATGAACGTGTCAATGAAGCAAATGAATTGCTCAATATTTCTGGCCTGTTTCAGACGTCGAACGTTTCATGTGCCGAACCTATAAATATAATGTTAATAAACTAAACTTCATAAATTAGTTCATTTCCACTAGACTTGGCACATGAGAAGTTCGACGTCTGAAACAGGCATGAAACAAGCCTTCTAAACTATTTTCGCAACTATAATCGATTTTGTTGATTTGGTAATACAGAATGATCTATCGTGTTTTATTCGTACTTCGACATGGGTTTCTCGTCAAATGTACGTACATGGTTTAACAACCGTCTGAAATGGACAAAAACAACTTCCTGACTAACCCCTCCCCCTGACAAGGTCAAAATGAGGACGTTTTTTTCCACCATTTATTATGTCAGCTTCAATTTTAAAAATTACGTAGTTAATGAATTACGTCATAAGATGGGACCCGGGTTCAAGTTATATTTAAAATTGTTCAATCATTTCCAAAAATTGAAATGCTTCGTGTCAGCCACACATTAATTTTTGTCTATAGTTTGCTAGTTGAGTTGTAAATTAATATAAATATTTAACAGTGAATATACAGTGATATACTCACTATATTCATTTCGAGATTTTATTATATAGTGACCTGATACTAACGTCTATAGTAACGAATATAACCAAGGAGCAGCGTGGCAGCGTCTTCAAACAACTTAGCATCAAATGTGGTATAACAACTGCCTAAATAGACAAAACATTTCTCGACGTTTCGACGTGAGGGCCTTCGTCAGGAGAGTGGAGGCTCTCTCCACTCTCCTGACGAAAGCCCTCAGGAGGAGAAACGTCGAGAAGTGTTTTGTCTATTTAGGCAGTTGTTATACCACATTTGATGCTATAGTAACGAATGTTATATCATATCAGATTGCTCTTATAGTAAGTTCAAAATGGAAAACAAAATTATATCTTTATTGGACGAATAAGCTGAAATATGTCGATGTAAATAGTTTCAATGTAAGTACATATGTTTAATGCATAAGATGTAGGTTCAGTCATTCACAGTATGTATGAGAGTATTTTTAATTTTTGGCTTATCCTCCGTTTAGCTAAACGCCTTACGAACAACCGACCCCTGTATCAAAATTCACACCTTTAAAATATAATTCCTCAAAAGTATATTCTGCATGTAGACTAGCTATATTTTCATTGACACTTTTCGTAACACCTATGATCATCTATTGGATATTTAAATAATAGTAATATTAAAAAATATCTCCACATAATAATGTATAGAGTCTCACCTTTATTACAAGATAAAGTAGCCCATGCAGCGATAGTTTATTCCGGAATAGCTAAACGTATCGTTGGTAATGTCAGTAAGAACTCGTTGGATTGGACGACGAAGAGAAATTAATTCTGCATGAGCTAAAAACTACAGTGTAGTATTGGCTCTGCTGCCATATATTTTGGTAGAAATCCCGTTGTAATGAATAATGGAGTTTTTTTTCAATCAGCTGTAATTAGTATTTTCCTCATCTATTCTCACACGTGGAACTACTGAACATTTAATCTTCTAAACGCTTAATAAAAATATCGAGTAAATTGCATTAATTCTATGTATCTGAGTGCCTTTCATCTTCCATTAAAACCACGGGAATTCCGGCAAAGATAGGTTTACCATGACGATAGGTTTACCACTATGACGCACGTCAAGTATTTCTAGAATAAAACGTTTCACATCATACGGTATTTCTTCTATGATGTGTTTCAATCAGGCGCACGTATTTTAACTTCAAGACATTAACAATGGATAAGTCCGCGGTCCCAATATTATATAGCTATGCCAGCTAATAGGCATGCCAGCTTTGGAGAATGAACCATCTCATATATATAAAAGTATCCAAAGAGGTCGGAATGTTATTAGTATTCAGATAGTTTTATCTTTTTTACAATTCATTAAAGATTAAAAAAGCTCGTGTTATTGCAATTTTAAATTCTTTTAAAAGAATTTGCCGGCGCATGAAAACAGGGGCACGAAAACAACCTTGTTGCGTTTGCAAAAGCATTCTTTAAAGGAATTTATTTGCTGCCATTTTGTCATCCGCAACAACATTTCGGGCCCAGTTGTTGGAAAGGTACAACTTTGGAGAATTATTCCATTTTTAGTGCACACATTTCTGAAGTCATGGGCGAACACTTCTTCATGTATAATGCCTGAATAAATTATGCATGCATGCATGCGGCTCTCTTTTGTAAACGGAGTAATACCATGCAAAGTTTGTTTTGTAATCCCTGCATACTTTATATTAATTTAATTAAAGTTTTAATACTGATACGCACATTTGAAGAAATACCGAAATCTATACTGAGATACGCGCAAACTGCCACACAATTGGTCGTGCATACATACATAAACTTGATGAATACAAACGCGACACGTATTTCTTTATTGACTGATTGATAACACTGTCAGCTGCAGCTGCAAAACATGCAGTGAAGCTCTATATTACTTTCGTATTTTAGAAACTAAAACAAATTTGACGTTCTCTCTTATAATATACGCGCATAATTCACAAGCGGATGGACAGTCTATTATACTCTAAATGTTTTCGGCCTTAAAAAGCTCATATATGGCGAGCAAATGTTAAAGGGATGTCTGGCATCGTATTTTTAGTTGTACTATACGAGAAAATCATTTGATTCATGTGGAGAACGTAACCAACACTCAACAATACTATATATTATCTATTGATGTCCGCTGACCGTAATTAGCCTCTATTATGTAAAATACAAGAAGACTTAGATCAGGATGTCACTGTCGATCTCACATCTTATGATTGTAAAAAAATATATAAGGAAAATGTCGGGTGATTTAACTGATTTTGTACCTTTTTCTCTCTAACCGATTAACTCTGTTGGACACACGTTGTTTTGGACTTTTTCTTTTTGCGTCAGGAGTTAAATCATGCATTATTGAAAAAACTGTTTTAATTTTTCTATCAATAAACGTCAAATTTGTTTAATGAAACTGCTTAATTGATGCTAACTGGGCTAGTTAACCGAATATCCCTGCCTGCGAGCGTGGTTCAGTTATTTTCGAAGATAAATATAAATATATAGCAGAGACTTGTTAAAAATTTATAAAATTAAGAAAAAGTGGGAGTCCCATAAAACAACAATTATTTAAACAGTCTCTTCGTGATCGGCTTATCACTATACGCTTCTCAATAAAACCCCGTACAGCTGACGGGCACGTTTTCCTTGCCAAGTTTTATTTGCTCGTGTATACAATTTGACAAGTTTTCCTTGACATGCAAGAAGCTTTGTTCAAAGGATAATCATGCCAGCTTTTCAAAGACAAAAAGGAAAAATGCTCGTATGTACGCCTGCCCTGCATGATAGTGATAATTCCAGTGCAGTCTTCTCAGATAGAGAAGTATATAATGAGCCAAGCTGGAATAACTATACCCGTGCTGGCAGGGAGAGCAAATTGACTTAATCAACGCGCATGCATCTGAAGGATTGATATTGATCATCATGACTTATTCGGAAATCAAGCAGTTGATTTCAATCAACACCATCCTAAATGGAACAATTAACACTTGGCGTTGACTTCTGTGTTGCATCCAGAATTTGAAATTAAAATAACACTGCCGAAACAAGCGAATATTGTATTTTATTTAACAACCTCCTAGCTACCTGGCATCAATCAGAACTCAATCTATCATTAAGTTAACATGCAGGTTTTATTATTTGACATGCATGGCCAAGCAGTTATATGTAGTTCCTATGTATGGCTTAGCTCGCGTTGAGTTTTGTTCATGTTCGGAATTCCTATAAAGACTCATCTTTTTGAACAGTTTAAATGCAAAACATTCTATGGTTTAAATATTGAGAGTTGCATGACACAGTTACGCGAGACAGAAGGATAAACAGTGGATTGGTTATAGCTTGCATGCATGGTACTGTATTCTCAAAGGCCAAGACAATCTTTATTTCAATTCTTGCAGTGGAATCATAGGGTTATAAACTTCAAAAAGAAATTTACAATCCGTATACAAAATCCGTATACAAGCTAACTAAAAAATCTGTTTTAAAAGTATAATATATTTGACCATATGTCAAAATGTCGGTTTAAAACAGTTTAGCTTCTGTTGCACTAATACTCCAAAATCGAGTCGCAATTTAAAGAAGAGTAGGTAAAAACTAAGAAGACTCAAAATTAAACTTTGGCAACGTAAAGGAATGTCATCATTTGTGATAAATAAAGAATTTATAGGCAAGTTCAAATTCCACGAATTAGAAAATCCTCATGCATGCAGTTCATGAGTCGGTTGGAACAACGATATAAGCTAACGGTGGAAGCCTGGTGTTTTAAAGATGTCATTAATGAATAATGTATACCCAAATCCACCAAATCGGGCTCACAAATCGCTTGCATGCATGTCTTCACCGCAAACACGATCTTCCATTTGGCAACTGCAGCATGTATGAATGGCATGGTTTTCAAAAAAGCGATTAATAAATAAACTAATCTTGTCAAAGACAAAGGGAATTGAATGTCCGAGTTCCCTCTACATCTGCTCTTCGACAGTCATATGTAATCGCATTTATGGATAGACAAATAAAACGCTTTCTTAACTTCGTTTTCCGGAATAAGTCCCTTATAAAACCTCTCTCTATATATACTATGTAATGTCACCATGATTGTACATGCAGTGTTTGTATATATACATGCGTGTGCTACTTGAAACAATAATTATATAGGGAGCACGGAACTTACCCTATATTCTGTCACTTGTTATGTACTTCACATTTATATATCTTGTGTTGATGATACTGAAATGCTTCCTTGCAAGCCTCGTTTCTATTTAGTTCGTGATTTACAGTCTGCCTACTGCTTTATATTCAACAATATATATATAATGATAAAAAAAAGCGAGTGTTGATTCGGTCTGATTGACCTTAACCACTGAGATATTGTGAAACAATTAACATATACTCGATTTCCTAACCACAACTTCCACAAAACATCCTAATTTTGACATTTCATGCATATAGAAAATTAGGTACAATTTTGATATGATGTTTTTAATTTAGTACTTACGTCTTACTCAATTATTCATCGGTTTTGTTGAGAACTCTTTTTGTTCGAAAAGGCCTTCAACTTAAATCAGGCATCTAACAGCGTACATTGGCAGCTAAAATTCTTAATCATATGGACACCAAATGGCAATTTTTGAGTGATAGTGATCTAAATTAACATATTTTGAAAAAAGAAAAAATTCATTTAATCATAGTCAAATAGATCATTAAAGCAATTCTGTCATTGACACAATGTCAGTGGATCGGTTGTTTTTTCAAATGATGAACACCTAAAAAAGCATCCAAATTAAGGCGGACATTAACATCTCTCCACACCTATAGTTTTATTGCTATACGCGGAAGATTTTAAATCTCAAATAGCGTCTGGTAAAATTTAATGTTACCTCATTAATATACGCCGATTTTGATCTGTTCTTTTTGCCGGTGTGAGAAATCGTATACGATTATACACGTATACGTGCTTTATTTCAAAGCAAATTAAACATATCTGCATATAAGGTTACTTACTTTTTTACTGGATTTGATCTGTGTATAATTAATATAAACAATGCTATTTGTATACGGATAATCAGCGTCAGTGGCGTAGCCAGCCTGACGATTTAGTCCTGCTATTTAAATATTAAGTTATTCTTCTTTAGAAATTCATTGTTTTCACTTTCAATGAACACCTAAAATATATACACGAATATAGCTGGACTAAATTGTCCGGTACGCTATTTACGGCACGCTGTCAGCGTTGTTTTGTCTATGTTCGGTTTTTACAAGCTTGCTAGAAAAAATTAGCTAAAAACATTTTCTCAATTATATATATGGTTAATCGTGAGTTATAAATTATTCAAGCTAAGTACAATTAATGGTTTCAAGTGCAATTATAGTGATTAACATATGCATGCACCAGATCAAGTGAATCTTTGCATGAAAACCGTAGTGACTCAGTCAATCATAATACCAAAAAGATTTTCGAGACAAAAATAAGTGACGTTGACCTCATAAACACTAGGAAGATTGGCCAGATTTATAAATTGAGGAGGGAAACGTCCCAGACGACGTAAAAATGATCAATTTTTCAGTTTTTAAAATTAAAAATATGTTTCAGAAAACAAATTTTGTAAAGTACCGACGCCAGAACAGTCAAAATATGCTATCTTAATTGATTAATCCTCATGAATATCATGACAGGATAAAATTTATTTTATTTGTCTCCAAATGGCATCCAGTTTGTGTAGGATTTTAAGGCCATAATATTATGATTGCTTGATACAAATGTGCGAATACCACATTGGTATAAGAGAAATTATAAATCGTAATTTGGTCAAAATCAATCACGTGGTTTCTTGTTGCCTGGCGACAGATCATGGAATATGGTATACTCGACCATGATTGAATATAGCAGAATATTCGAGAACACTGGAAAATGCTATACGCCAATCTCGTATTTCATTTTTTGTGTTTGTGAAATTTTGACTAATGCAATCGCACGAGTCGCATCAGTCTGGATCCGGCCCTGACATGCTCAAACACAAATACGGATCTGGCAGCACTGTATAGCCTTATAGCGTATTTCTCACGTAGCACCAAGCGTGCTGTTTCTGTATGTTGGCGAGTGCTGAGTCATTACTATATACATTTATCAATATAGTTACACCCCATGCGGTTTTAAATGCGTTAAATTGACGCTGACGTGAGCGAAGTGGGTACCCGTATAGGAAAAAAATTACTTAAGTGCATGGCTTAACAAAAAAGAAACCGCGATTGATGCTATAATAGAAAAATATCTGACAAAGTGAAATACGTGGCTTACCAATAGTCAATCGGTGATTACTATAGTTACGAATGATATATAGAAGTTACATAACTGATATTTTTACGTACATGCGTTCGAAAGGGCATTGTCAATTAATGTTAGATAACGTTAGTAATTTTCGTTTGATGCTATAAAACTTCTTGTATGGATTTGCTATGATGTATTAAAGTTTAGCTATTTCTAGGCGATATATATCTTGCCTTTTACCACGTAGTTGTGGGCTATTTTACTTCATTTACCGCGGACGTGACACTAGCCTATAATGTGATATATGTCCACTTATTATATCCGTCTTTGACTGACGCCATCAGTTCTCAATCTAAATCTTTTATGAGCGTAAAACAGTGCTGTGAATATATTTTTGTCGTAGTGAAATGACATACCTTGAAGTGGGATATAAAAAGGCATCGTTGATCAATGTTGAGAATATTTGACCAAAAATATGGCTGACGTGTGCTCACTGCATATTATTCCACCATATTCAACATCTCTCTGCGTCTGAAACGGGACTGACGCTTTTATGTCACGCGTACCAGTCGCCAACTGCTCTTATGAGCTTGAGATCTACATATTTTTTGTGACAGGGAACCAATAAGAACCTGGAATAACTAGGGCACGAATTTATTTCAGTTTTGGCATTTCCATCCGTTAAACAAACAACTTAATGGCTATCTAAATTGAGAGCATGCACGGGTTATTACCACTGCATGCATAACTCCTATATATAGAAAAAGTAAAAGGACTCGATTCAATTCAAATATCTTAGTTGGGACATGATGAAATAAGCAGTATAAAAGCACAAGAAAACAAAGCGATTCAACTCCTTTCCGTCTCCATATATTAAAATAGCTACTCTATAATACAATCTTTCAGAATATATCCCATGCATACGTGCATATAATTATTCAATGAATGAAACTGGCAAAAGTCGTTCAGTTTCAAAAGACAAACGATAAAACATTTAAACAAACGGTATACAACAAATGATAAATTTAAACAATAATTAAAACAGGAAAATTATAATAAGAAATAGGCATTGCATTATATAGTAGGTCAACCAGACTCAACCTAAAGTCATTTGGAACGAGATGGATAATTCTTTCATTATTTATTTATGATATAAAAAGAAGTGGTAGAGGTCATTTGTACTATAGCTGTATATAGATGGCGTCAACAAGTCTAATGTATGAACTTATTGTCATGGTGATATGGCGCAAACGCGACCACGTTCTCGTCAGTCACAGTTTAATATAGATATATTGCACGAAGATTGTATATTAAACTTGGTTAGCCATTGGGTAGATATAGCAGTTTTGACGGTTGGAGATAAAAAATCCCGAGTTTCGATAAACATAACCAAAGGTTATGGTCGGAATAATATTTGGCTACTTTTAGTTTATTCAGTTATAACCTGCTCAGGCTGCTCGCCATTTGTAAAGAACCCTCCGCTACCCTCGTCAGGCTTTAGCACATTTTAAGAATTGCATTTCTTCAGTTTATTTCATTGGTCTAACGTATGTAATAACTTCGTGAACGAATATTGCAATTTCTAAATTGTATTACCTACAAAGACTTCAACCATTCGCCGGACCATCACCATCAGCTTGGTATGCGAAACCAATATTGTGTTTCATGAGGCACTCTGTAATCAGAGATGAAAAAAATGCAACAAGTCAACACCTCCTATTGAGCGCAACGTTACGCGTTGGACCAACACACAAGAACCTTATATTAAATTGATAAACTGACAACATTTTCTGCTTCGAAATGGCTGTGCAAACGAAGTGGTCGAGAATTGTAGAACTTCTCAAACCACATCGTCTATTATTGAGTGTTCTTATTGGTGTCGTGCTTGGCTGTGTTATTGGTATCTCTTGCCATGACGCTGTTCAGAATTCTCCTAATCCCTCACCTCGAAGACTTGCTATGTATATTAAATTCCCAGGTGAACTTTTCATACGAATGCTGAAGTTGATTGTGATACCTTTGATAACTTCAAGTATTATCGTTGCATTGAATGATATTGATATCAAAAGCGCTGGTCGTCTTGGTAAGAGAACCATGATCTATTACATATCAACCACAATGCTATCTGCAATACTTGGTTTGGTACTCGCGTCCATCATTAAACCTGGGAGTGGCGTCAATGAAGAAAAGAAAGCATCGGATAGTGTCAATCGTAACTCAGTTGATTCATTCCTAGATTTACTCAGGTTTGTTGTGTGTTTATCACTTCAGTGATTCTGATTGCGTGCAAAAATATCACTTGGTATTTTTGGCATCTCAAATTTCATATATTCTTGATTTATATGTAAAACGACCATATTGGCATTTGCCATTGGTCACGTGCATACCGTTGCGAGAGTAGAATGTCTTTATTGTCTAGTTATAATTGGGTACCATTGTTTTTCGAATAAATTGATTGATTGATCGATGGATATAAACTATTATAACTCAAGCCCTGGTACACAAAATACCTGGGTGCGAGCCAGGCTTTCAGGTAGACTATCAGCGATATAACTGTTGCTGTTTTCCACTTGGCGAAATTTTGCGCGAGGAGCTGAATTTTTCTTTAGCTCTGTATAAAACGCACAGACAATGAAACATTCCGCTCCGCGCGAAAAATCCCGCATAGTTGAAAACAGGCCTTAAGGCTGCTTTCCACTTACGCGTTTTTTATATACGCACGTACACGTACGGAAAATTTTAAGTGCTTTTAAATTTTTATTATTTAACATCTAGGTCAACTAATGCCTACTAAAATATGCAGAAAACTAAAGTTCCTTCGATTTATTCACTTGGTTTTTTCAAAGGTAGCATGTACAAGGATTTAGACTTTTACGTGCGTGTACGTGCGTATGAAAAACGCGTAAGTGGAAAACAGCCTTTAGTTCTGCAGACAGTAGTGAACTGTATTGGGAAATAATAAAAATTAATGAGGTTTATACCCAAATAAATTTCGTGAATTAGGTCACAAGCACACCGTGTATACCCAATACAAATAAGATTGATAAATATGCCAATTAGTTATTAAACACTAGTGGCTGTATCGGAAAAATACAACACAGCCGTTCGTGTTTTAAACATTACATAAAACCTGAAACCCTAACCCTAAACACTAAACGTTTTTGACTAAAAACATTTTTGACTAAACTAAGAGTTTTTGACTCTGTCTCCCGTTCAATTTTTATAAATTTAGCACATGATTGCACTTACAGTAACATAGTTCCAGACATTCCTAGGTAATTACTCTGTATGTCATTCTCAAACGATACGATGAGATAACCTACCTACTCAAATGACTCAGATAACTTACCTTCAAATATGGCTTTACGTTAGCCTTCCGTCTGGCTTTATTACAGTTCACTGACAGACAACGGCCGAAAACAAACCTAGTCTGAAAATAAAATACAAAGATTCCGCCAAAGGAAAACTGCCTATATTCGTTTACTATTCAATTTACCATGGATGCTATCCAAATGAATTTTTCCTTTTTAAGGAATGTTTTTCCAGATAACTTGATGGCAGCCTTCTTTAGATCGGTAAGTAATCGGGATTATTTAGAATCCGGCGTTTTATATATTTTGGGAAATGGTGGCAAATTAAAAAGTAGTTTACTTTTCAGGTTTATACAGATTACAAAAAGAACATGGTAAATTACAGATATGTGGAGAAAAACACTACCAATATGTCTGCAAAGGCGATGTTTCAACTTCTGCAGAAGAACAAAGTATCAATGTCAAGCGAAGGTCATGTGACACTTATCAAGAATGACGTCACTTATGAATATGGTGGCATTTCAAGTGGTGGAGGAACTAACATGGTCGGTCTGATTGCCCTCTCAATTGCGTTTGGGGTCGTTTTGAATACCATCAAAAAAAATGGGTTACCTTTGGTGAACTTGTTTAGATCATTGTGGCACACAATTATGAAACTTGTGGAAATTATTATGTGGTATGTTGGCTTGAATAACTGATTGAGGTTTAGTAATCTCATGTGCCAATCTTTATTTTATGTCCTACACTTGCATTTATTCTGCCATCTCAAACAGTACGTTATATTTAATGCATGGAAGTTGATTTATCAAACTAAATTTTTAAAGACAATGTGACATTTTATACAAGAATAAGATTCATCTGGACGAGCAATTTTCATTGTTTATTGTTTTCCAGGTTAGCCCCAATTGGAATTTGCAGTATAATTGCAGGAAATATCGTTGAAGCAAGTGATATCACTTTGCTATTCAGAGCCCTGGGTCTTTATGCGTTAACCAACATTGTCGGCCATCTTATTCAAGGAATTATCATCTACCCAGTTTTGTACGTTGCCCTTGTACGTGCAAACCCAATAACACATTTGAAAGGCATCCTCCCAGCTCTGTTCACAGCATTTGGTACATCATCCAGGTAAGCTGTGAAATTGTTTTGTTTTCGTAAGATTTTATTTGCGTGGCGTGTTCTTAAATGCGTTCTTTTCTAAATTCTGCATGAGCAGACTGAGGCAGGACTTGCAGAGGAGTTAGTGGCATTTGATGTGTGATATAAAAATAGTGGCGTTGCAGAACAACTTCTTGCACCTATATATTTTTATCATTCTCAGTGCTGCCACTTTGCCAACAACAATTGAATGTTGTGAATCCAAAGTGAAGATAGACAAACGAGTAACTCGTTTTGTTTTACCCATCGGCGCCACATGTAACATGGACGGCGCTGCTTTGTATTATGCTATCGTGGTTCTGTTTGTGGAACAGATGGAACCAAATGTTCAACTGGAAATTGGTGAAAGAATCATGACGGTGTAAGTAGCTATAATGCTCCTAATAATCCTTTGTTACCAGCGTCTGGGTACGAGGCTGGTAAATTGTGAAAAATATAGCCCTTCAAACTTTTCGTGGTAGTGTAACCTTTTTTATGGCTTTTTCATGGTTTCGTTATACAAATGTGTATGAAATTCGGAAATTACGACTTTAACTACTAACTCCTAATCCAACACTCGTTCCTTTGACTTCGTTTGTAGATTGATAGCCACAGTTGTATCAATTGGAGCTGCAGGTATTCCCAGTGCAGGACTCGCTAATGTAGTTGTCGTGTTGAAGGCAGTTGGACTTCCTGTTGACAAAATTGGACCAATATTTGCTGTAGAATGGTTTATGTAAGTACGGCTGTATGAGTATCCCATAACACATGTTTCTCTAAATCAACAGATCAGTTAAACCGATAGTCAAGAAATGCAGATACCCCAGCAGCAAGCTTTCCTTTATTGTGCCTTCAAAAATTCCTTTTGAGTAAAAATATACTGGAAAATATTTTTGATCGTCGCAGAAATAAAGTTGATTTCTAAATTAGGGTACAACTTTTATCAACCCTTTAGAGATCGACTGAGGACGGTAATCAACGTAATGGGTGATACAGTGACCGCAGCTGTTGTAGCCAAATACTCACAAAATGATTTTGCGGAAGATAATTTTCAATCTTTGGAAGTGTGCAAAAATCTGCCAGGGGAAACTTCCCCTGAATCGGAGGAAACAATCTTATAGAGTTTGCATTATTTGATTTTCTTTTCTCTTCCGTGCGTTTATAAAAATTAAATAACTATTTAGGGTTCCAATATAACCAGAGAGCAGCGTGGCAGCGTCTTCAAACAACTTAGCATCAAATGTGGTATAACAACTGCCTAGATAGACAAAACACTTCTCGACGTTTCGACCTGAGGGCCTTCGTCAGGAGAGTTAGTATAAACTAACTCTCCTGACGAGGTCCGTCAGGTCGAAGCGTCGAGAAGTGTTTTTGTCTATTTAGGCAGTTGTTATACCACATTTGATGCTAAACGTTTTAGGGTGTATAAAGAAGTACCTCCTATTGAGATAAGGTTTTGTAACAATTTGAATGCACTGATGTCGGTAAAGTACACCGATTGAATTATATAGTAATATAATATATATATATATATGGATTATTAATATATATTTTATACAATGCTCATCATCGTATGAAACCATAGACAAAATTGCATTACACAGTCAATTTAGTATTCGTAATTGATTCGTCCCTAAACCTTTCGACATGTCACTCCTGATCTTGCACTATATGTAGCTATTTATGCAGCTGGTTTAAAAGCTGGTTTTCTCATTAACATAATTTTGTCCTAATTCACATATCGTAACTTGTTGTAATTCAGGGTTTCATAAAATGTTGGATTTGGCATAACAACGAATTACGATATGTCAATTAGGACAAATTACGAGGAAAATGTACCGTCTTAAGGACCAATATAACCAAGGAACAGCGTGGCAGCGTCTTCAAGTGGTATAACAACTGCCTAAAATAGAAAAAACCTCTTCTCGACGTTTCGACTTGAGGGCCTTCGTCAGGAGAGTTAGTATGACTATTAACTACTAAGTCATACTAACTCTCCTGACGAAGGTCGAAACGTCGAGAAGTATTATGTCTATTTTGGCAGTTGTTATACCACATTTGATGCTAAGTTGTCTTAAAGACCAATTTTATACGTCGCATGATAAGATAATGAGGTTCATTGAGGTCATCATCACCTCATAACCTGTTGTTCGAACTGCATTCGAGGTTGTTCAACTGCATTCGAGGTTGTTCAAACCTGATTTTGAAGGGGGTATTTTTTGGAGGCTGACTGATAAGTTAATAATGGATTTTCATATTACAAATATTTTCCTTGCATAATTAAAAGAAGCGAGCGATGCTGTCAAGGGAATCCGCTGCGGTCGAATTCTCACAATTGAAATCAAAATCAAACGGAAATTTATTTTTTCGTTCGATCAAAAATTCAACGGAAAACCGCATTGACGAAGTAGCATTTGCGATAATCCCCCCGGCTTCAGGTTTATTAAATTTCATACGCCACATGCGCACTACACCACATGTGCACACTAGAATATGTACACTGTACATTTTGTGCATTATCAGACTAATTCTAATTATAACATTTCGCTTGGTATATAAAATGGCATCTGATATATACCATATACGTATCACTGAGTCGAGAGCTGACATGATAGCGTTGCTTTGGTTGACACGGCCTGACACGACCTGAACGGGGGGAGGGCGTATATGGTCAGATTCATGTATGCATGGTAGATTTTGAGAGATTATTTGTTTTCTTTGTTTAAAGCAAAGGAATCAAAGAAAGCCACTAATAATGTTTGGCTTATTTATTCAGTGACTTACATGCAACCCTGCCACGTATTAACCCGATGCAGCTGTAGATATTCAGATATTAAATCGGATTGGATTTGCTCACGTTCGTGTCACTTTACACTCGTCACTCGACATCAGTAAATCGCATCAGAAAATTCGGGAAAATAGCGGTGTTATACACATATTCGTAGCTGAAATGGCTGTGCAAACAAAACGGTCGAGAATTGCAAAACTTGTCAAACCACATCGTCTATTATTGAGTGTTCTTATTGGTGTCGTGCTTGGCTGTGTTATTGGTATCTCTTGTCATGACGCTGTTCAGAATTCTCATAATCCCCCACCTCGAAGACTTGCTATGTATATTAAATTCCCAGGTGAACTTTTCATACGAATGCTAAAGTTGATTGTGATACCTTTGATAACTTCAAGTATTATCGTTGCATTGAATGATATTGATATCAAAAGCGCTGGTCGTCTTGGTAAGAGAACCATGATCTATTACATATCAACTACAATACTGTCTGCAATACTTGGTTTGGTACTGGCGTCCATCATTAAACCTGGGAGTGGCGTCAATGAAGAAAAGAAAGCATCGAACAATGTCGATCGTAACTCAGTTGATTCACTTTTGGATTTATTTAGGTATAGTACGATATTACCTGTTAGTGTCTAAGACTACATATTTATTTCGTCCTAAGTTTTCGGCTTTTTGCTTTTTTCAACGAAACTGCTAAATTTTTATCCTTCCTTTTTTTACGTGTGGAGACGTTCCGTGGTCCTCAAGCCGATTTCAAGTTTGTCCAGTAACGTGCAAACGAAATCGTATTGTAATCTATAATATTTACTCAGCTTGGACAACACTGAATTTCATCTACATTTGCTGATGTGTGATTGTGTATAATACCATGTCTTTTATATCTTAACTATCTAACTATCTTATCTTATTTTACCTGTGCCTAACGCTGAACGAACCGGTGTCGTTTATACTTTTAAGAATAATAATAACGTGCGAACGGACAATTTTGGCGTTCACATTTATATGCAAAGTAATGCCTACTACAACAATTTTGGCGTTCTCATTTAAGGCGGATTTCCACTTACAGCGAAATCGTTCGCCAGCGAAATATTTGCATATTTTTCTTTTGAATTTTAACAGCATAAATAAACTAGTTCGACTTGACTGTTCTCAATTCAAAAGAAAATATGCAAATATTTCGCTAGAGAACGATTTCGCTGTAAGTGGCAATCCGCCTTTATATGCAAAGGTAATAGCTACTACATACATGCATGCAACTGGTGCAACTGATGCAAGTACCACGAATGAATTTTTTTCATATTGCATGGGGAAGAACGGCAAAACGTTACAAGAGACAAAAACCGCCTAAAGCGATGCTGGTTAGACACATATTACACATGCATAATACAATTGATGAAATCAATTATATTGGCAACAATTGGACCGTATCTTTGTTATCATACGTGTAAAACAAATATTGATGATGGCATACCATTCATTCATATGTCAACAAAATATTAAATGAAATGGTGTATGAATGAAAATAAACTGAGCAGACTGTTGGATTATATGCAATTATCCTTTAAATCGCGTTAATCATGTAAATACATTGTAGGCCTTTTAACTATAAGGCTTGTTTCCCGTCGTCACCATGCATGACAACTGTGTTGCAGTTGAAAGAAGAAAAGAAAGACGTTATAATAAATACTGTATAATATCCACTTTTTCTCTTTATTCTCATAGGAACATTTTTCCTGATAACCTGATAGGATCATTCTTTCGATCAGTAAGTATAATTTATATCATAAACATGCCTAAATCTATTATTGCTGTCGCTGTTTATATAGGTTTCCGTGAGTATATTAAGGACTAAATTACTAAAACAACACTGTGCGTCATTATTGCCACACTGATATTTTTCTGTTAGAGGAATATTGAATGCCGTATGCATACGCGAGTTTAATTAGATTTAATCAGAGTTTCAAACGCACAATCCTTTACAGCGCCATCGTCGACACACTCTTTTATATATTTATTGATCTCATGTCGATGCTAAACATTTGGGAAACATATTTCTCTGCTTCATTTTCTTTAGGCTTATACGGATTACAACAAAAACATGGTTAATTACAAATATGTGGAAAAGAACACTACCAATATGTCTGCAGAAGCGATGTTTCATCTTCTGCAGAACAACAAAGTATCAACGTCAAGTGAAGGTCATGTGATTCTAATCAAGAATGACGTCACCTATGAATATGGTGGCATTTCAAGTGGTGAAGGAACTAACATGGTCGGTCTGATTGCCCTCTCAATTGCGTTTGGGGTTGTTCTAAATATCGTTAAGGAAGATGGGTCACCTTTGGTCAACCTGTTTAGATCATTGTGGACTGTAAGCATGAAACTGGTTGAAATTATTATGTGGTATGTTGACTCGGGTTTTACGTAAATTATAAATATTAAAGTTCTGCATTTTTCGATCTAATGAATGCTTAGTTCAAACACGTAGAGTTTTATGCTATATTGAATGCGTTTGTGGGGGTTTAAATTTACTGAATGCTTTTGTTTCGCACAAGTATGACATGCATGTGTTTATATAAAAGGGGAAAAAGTTCTGCATGTCTTATTAAGGAACTTATTTTGAGTATTTTCATGTTTTATTGTTTTCAGGTTAGCCCCATTTGGAATTTGCAGTATAGTTGCAGGAAATATTGTCGAAGCAAATGATATTTCTTTGCTATTCAGAGCTATGGGTCTTTTTGTTTTAACCAACATTGTCGGCCATCTTATTCAAGGAATTATCATCTACCCAGTTTTGTACGTTGCCCTTGTACGTGCAAACCCAATAAAACATTTAAAAGGCATCCTCCCAGCTCTGTTCACAGCATTTGGTACATCATCCAGGTGAGCAGACCTTGCTTATATATATTGACTGACATTAACTCATGAAATGAATTTGATTGGAACTCTACCTCCGACAAGAAAATTTATTCCACGTAGTATCGTATTTGCATGTTTTGACATCCAGTGATCCAGACGCACGTGAAACACGCGATTCGCGGCGTTTTGCTGAGATGTCTTGCATTCAGATTTCAGACTTACACGCCTAAGATTGGCATAACTTTCTTGCTGGAAGATATTTTTATCGAATCTCAATTTCGATCATTTTCAGTGCTGCAACTTTGCCAACAACAATTGAATGTTGTGAATCCAAAGTGAAGATAGACAAACGAGTAACTCGTTTTGTTTTACCCATCGGTGCCACATGTAACATGGACGGTGCTGCTTTGTATTATGCTATCGTGGTTTTGTTTGTGGAACAGATGGAACCAAATGTCCAACTGGAAATTGGTGAAAGAATTTTGACCATGTAAGTAGAGAAAATTTGACGCAATAAACGCATGCAGTGGCGAAAATTATATTCAATTTAGGGCTGGAAAGTGGGTGGATCCGAACGATTTCCCACAAATTTGTTCATTTTTGCATTTTATTACGTGGCGGGTTACTTGAGTTGTTTACCACGTTACATGACACGCAGTTCTACCGCGTTATTTTTGAGCGCAGATTTGATTTTATAAGCGCAGAACACGAAGCATAAATCGGAATGATTGATTACTTAGCTTATCATCGGGAAATCAGGAACATGCTTCCTCTGAAGTGTTTTTCTAAGTCACTTTTATCAAGGTCTGTAACAGATGAATGCGTGATAATACATAATTCCTTCCAGATTGATATGTACCGCAGTGTCAATTGGTGCTGCTGGTGTTCCAAGTCCAGGACTTAGCAACTTGGTTATTGTGCTAGAGGCAGTTGGACTTCCCATTGAAAGGATTGGCCCAATATTTGCTGTGGACTGGCTTTTGTAAGTTACATTTTTAATTTTTAATTCTTGCATTCTGAATAGATTTCATTCTGAGTACATTAGTGTGACTAATTTTTGGTAGTCAAAGAAATGTTGCCGAGTTTATATAACCTTAATTTCACATTATTTTCAATCATATTAGGGATCGACTGCAGACGACTATTAATGTGATGGGTGATACGGTTTCCGCTGCTGTTGTAGCCAAATATTCTCAAAACGATTTTCCAACAACTGTTGAAAATGTTTATTGTCTTGAACTACTTAAGGGTTCTTCAAAGGAAATGTCACCTGAAACTGAAGAAACTAACTTATAGGTACTGATATAATTTCACCTTTCTAGTGATTCAGTTCCAATTTAAGGAACACTAAAAGCTATATAATCTTCGTGCTCATGCGTTTAAATTGAAACTATATAATTCAGTCTCTGGTTTTGTTGTCTGCACCTCAAAAGAAGCATTGCTCTATAGATCTACCGTAAGGACACAGATGCAAGGTAGGTAGGCTCTCAAGATGTCCTGTTTTCAGTTCGCTGCGCTCACTCGTTCGATGCCATTCTCAACACTCGAAATAAACTCCATATTCTCAAGCAACCACGTATTATCCTCTATTTCATTAAAATTACAAAGTGTGTAGGTCTCAGATTATAAAGTTTTATTCAAGATATCTAGTTAATCTGTATATAATCACAGCTGTATTGTGTGCAATTAGAATTAAAATTCACTGTTTTAACTACGACTGACTCAGTCTTCTTTTAATAAAATACAATAAATTATTATCTATATCATATAGAAAAATATAAAATCAAGATAATTGATTTTTGATAAAATATTTATATAATCCTCCATCTAAAAATTTTTATTCTTGTTTAAATAATTATACTGTTTATGATTGTAATAAATAATGTTTTATTTTGATTCAATATAGTGATAGTATAATGCTATTAGAGAAATCGCTTTTTTAATTGCTGAAAGTTCAGATATCTATTGATCAGCATATTTTACACGATTATTCGCATCCATGAATGAACTATCTCTAGTAAAAACAGACCAAGAGTTTTCTTGAACTTCATTCGTCTTAATTCAATCAAATTTGAAGCGACTGATCTAAAAATCAAACTGATAATGCACGAACACTCCCTGTTTTTGCTTGAGTGCCCACAAAACAATAGCCTGAAAACGAGGCAGGCCAAAGGAGTTTCTAAAGCCGAAAATTTGAGTTTTCTGAACTTTAAAGATTAACTTTTTGTGTGAAATTTTTTGTGACTCAAAGAATGCTTTTTCCAGTGATGTTCATATTGGTGGATGCAAACCATGCATCTATAATATAAATTTGTATGTCATATGTAAGATTATATTTTGGCTACCATTAAGAACTGTGAACTTTTATGAGTGGATGAAAGTTTTTTTCCCTTTTTCGTCGTTCCATCGGCTCGTAATCCAATGAACATTGCCTTTCCGTTGTGTTTATATTTATAAGATGAAAACTGAATATATGGAAAATGTCCTGTCAAATATCTAAAGAGGACGTCCTCACAAAACGTTTTCTAAATAGATGAAGAGAAAATGTCAGACATGCGTAAACGTTTATATCGAGATAAACGTTCGTGTACAAAAAATAGCTGACCTACTGTACGTACCGTTGAATATACAGTACCATTACTATTCATCGCAATATATCTTTTGTTTTTGGGATTCTGTATAGTTGCTAATCCTCCTTCATATCTTTCTAAGTCCAACACAACTGTGAAAAAAAAATCATGTTTCTTTAATTCCCATACATTAAAATATAAACAGTTTCAGTATGCAAGTTATGGGATACTGGATACAGACAGCCATTAACTTGGAAGAACATGGACAAGATGTAGTGATGCAACAAGTGCATGCAGTTGGGAAATATTAAGCTTATAATCTTATTATGATAAGCAAACAAAATAGATATAATGAAATACCATTAGGACTGGATTGATTTTTCACACCAATGACCTTTCCATCATCCATTATTGCCAAATTATAATTTAATAATTTGCACGAAAGTAGCTGAGCTTTGCGGGAGTTTGTTGGCTTGAGAACAACAACTGATCTTCTTTTTCTCTGATGCTCTTCCAGCGTTCCTTCTTCAAATATAGTTTCATGGTTTTTTAATAGCTGATGTCGCAGGTCATTCCAGCTTTTTGATTTAATGTTTTTCATTTCCATGCCAGTTTGTTTCTCATTGGATCTCGACAATGAGCGTGATTGTTCGAAAATACTCATTGGTTCAACCAGACTAATTGCGTAAGTCATCAATACAAAAAGAGATATCTGTGGAAAAGAAAGTTATATTTAATAAAAAAAAACAATGGAAGCTAGCATGCTATAAATCAGATTGTGATATGAGGCATGGATTGTGAAGATCGCACGAGAGCTCGAAACGAACGGAATCGATTTATTTCGAGATCATAAATTGAATGAATGCACTGTTACAACGACATCGCTGGTCGCTGGTCGCTGGACACAAATTCGTGTTAATTACTGGAGTCATAGTTTATCGCCAACAACACAACAGTTAATGATACCGCCGGATGAATTTGTTTCATACGTTTTAAACATGACCATGAGTGGTCTGAAATCACGAAATAATGTCGAAAAAGCTCTTTGCTGCTTTCATTCATTAATTGTGAATGCACGCAGTACGCGGAAAACCTGGAGACGAAATTGGACGAACACCTCGAGGCTGATACCTGTCGGATTAGTCGTGGCATGCCATATGCCTACTATAACCACTATTCAATAAACAAAAAACAACATCTGTTCTTCTTTAGTTTGTTTTTTCTTTAGATAATATGCCTGCGGAAACATGAAACAGTCATGCAAGCTTTGCATTTCGTATTTCGACATCCACTCCGTTATTACCTGCACGTATACAGAAACATGCCAATATATTTGTCGCCAATTGAAACAAAGAATGGGTATTAGCTTTCAAGTTTCGTTCATTATATTTTCATCCTTATTTATGATAATTACTGCATCTAAGGCGACATCAGCTTTTTCGCACTCATACTGATTTCCTCTACAGAGATAACAAAGACGTTCTCTCTAAATACTTGTATTGTTATTGCAAGAGAAAGTCTGGATAAAATCTGCATGATCAGTGTAAATCCTTGCAATTTTCTACTAAGTTTTCGATCCAGTTCTCTGCTATCAGTATCAGTCCTAGTTATTGTTATATGTGATTGTTACGAAAAGTATATAGGTCGACTCACCAGAAGTTCAGAACATATCTATTTAGTGGACTATTTCTGTTATAAGCGAGTTATTAGTGACTACAAATATACTACATCAGATCGATATATCATCAAAGACATTATGAGATTTATAATCATTATTTATTTACTCACTCAGGAAGTAGTGCCTTAAGTCATACTTTTATCTGCATGACCGTATTGTCTGGACAATGGATAAGTGGGTAATGTAGGTGGCAGGATTCATTAGATTTTTAGCTTTATCAGTACATTTTATGAAAATACTGCATGTGTAAAGCGAATTTTCAGTTATGTGCCGGTAGTCAATCAGTGCATGTAGTCGTGTCTACCGTGATGTTGTACTGTCCCCAGAGCATTAGTGTTGACAGATATAAAAGTTTAAAGACGATCCTGAACTTTCCTAAATTTGCTTGAGCCTGTACTATATAAAGTGAACAAGCTCTTATCGGTCATGCATCATGATATAAAGTTACAAATAGCCAAATGTTTGCTCTAAGCAATTATATATAATTTTGTTAATAAGATTTACCTTTAGATATGAATAACACAGATATATTATTTGTCATATATGTATTCCAGTTCAACATATAAGTTCTGCATTTAGCATGCATGCAACATATGGCTATTATTTAAATAATATTACATGTTGCGAAATGACCGTGGGTTCTAGCAACTGTAATCTCATGATATTGTATATATACGTCATAGTTGTCTGGCTCTGTTTACTCAATTTTGAATTCGCTCAGCCTGCAGGCTGCAGTTTATGATCAGCTTTTTACAAAATTCAGTTTTACGAATCAACAAATGTTTGCCATTGAACTTGCTGATGTCATTTATTAGGGTACAACCCACAACCGTCCTGTAAAAGTATTATATGCTTGAATGTATATTACATATATATGCCCATTACAATTCAATCTCATACAGTTCTTACATCAGTTTCAATCGGTCTGGAGGGCTTACCTCAATTTTATTTGCTCCTGGTATGTTCCTTGACAACCACATCTCGATTATATATAATGTATATCAATTTATTGGTCAACTATATAGAACTGTTCTTGACCTTTGCTGTGGTGTTTGCTTCTTCTATCACTACACTCAGTTTCCTCAACATATGGCTGTTGTTTGATAAGTTTAAGCCAGATTATATCACTTCAATACCGGAAAGCGACAAACGTTCTTTAAAGCTACCGGCCACTTTAGACTATACAGCGTAATATAGGCGCAGGTAGAAAACGTAAATAATATACCTAAAATTAGCTTGTATATCAATATTAATATCAATTGAACTTCGTCGATTCCTGAATTCCAAGCACGCCCATTCTAGAGGGCTCCTCGTTTCCTTTTAAAACGTGATTTAAGACAAAGAATTGTTTCACACAACTCGAGGTTCTATAAATATTTTCTACTTCCAAACTATTAACATTTTTTAATATCAATTGAATCCGTGAGAAATAATGCAACAGAACTAACATTCCTGCCCTTTTTCACATAACTGGCTGGTTATATAACTATAGCTATATATGACTATTTTGACTATATTTATCAGTTATTTATATCCATATATAACAAAATACCAAAATCCTTTAGTTTCGCTGCTATACTTAATTGCGAGTATGCTATATAGATATCCAGAGATGTCTTGTATGAAAACTCTAATGAACTGACATAATATCACCCATGCATTTATTGTCAATAAGGCGGTATATTAACCATGATTGTTTTCACAGCTATTATATTAGTCAAAATATAACAGCTTTATTATTAAAGAGGGATTTTATAGTCTACTTTTGAAGTGCCCACTCTGTTAGCCGGAGAATGCCAATCATATATAAGCAGTCAATGACCCAATATACCACAGCTATAGCTGGTGCAAAAATGACGCAAATCCTTGACGTAAATGTATTTTGGTACAGGAAGGTCATGGCGAATAAATGTGACCGAACCGTTTCTTGCATGCTCTCGGACTGCCTCAATTTTTAGCATCATTAACTGGTGGTACTATTTCTTTTCTGTCATAAATAAACCTGGTCATTTTCATAATATTAGTAAGTGTAACATTCGTTTACAAATTCATTCTAAAATGTCTTGTCCAACTTATATCACTTTTTGCATGTTCTCAAGATGTTAGAGTATTGAGATGTCTTAAACTTAAAATTAATAAACTTGGTAAAATGTTTAAACGAAAATCGAAACTCAGTAGATGATATTTAAGGCAACGTTCACACAGGACCAGATGAAATTGGGACGGTGCTCGAATTCGTCCCGTTCAGAAGTTCACCGGCGATAAAAATGGAAAATAGTTTCGCTGCATGGTTCTACGTGTTAACACACCGGAAACGGACGAACCCAACTGACGGACGGACTCGAGTATTTGTATTTTGTATAGGGTTTTTTGTGATACTTCGATTTATCTTTTTCTTTACCGTCTGGAACTCGGAATTTTACTGAGACAAAAAATATTTTTAGTGCAGAAAATGACATTCTTAATTTATTTTTTATATTGTCTTCTCAGTCTCAACTGCCAATATAGACCAGGATATCAACTTCTCGTAAGTGTTGAAAATTTCTTCCTCGCATATATGGGCTTGGTTGGTCTTCACAGCGAGTTTTTTTTCCCTCGTAGTAAAACAAGAACCTTGCAATAGACGTAATAGGTAATACAAGAATTGCCAGATTGCATGCTAATTTGGGCTGCATGGTTATTTACTTATTTTGTTTTCCTTGTTGTCGCTATAATGACACCAATCATGACAGTGTTTTGCCTATTCAGCTATTCTGACAGACATACTTTCTATATTAGCAAACACTGATGCATCATGCCGTCCGATGCCTCGCGATCAGTTCTACCGCAATCACAATTTTCGAACATGTTCCTTCCGGTTGTATAAAACTCTTTAACTACATTTTGCATGGTTAAATCCTAGTTAACTCAGAAATACACGACTCTGATTGGCCAATTCTGTCCTTAACTACAGTTAAAAGTTAACTAGTCTTTTATACAACTGGCCCCAGACCTTTAGTTATTTGTTTGCCTCGTTTGTGATATTTGACAGACGATTTGTAAAGACAAAAAAGAATTCTTTACAGGTTGTATAAGTATGTTGTATATTTGTTTGGAATTTTGAGGTGTCAAAAGCCAATATAATTAATTACAAAAAGTCATTGTCGCATGCATAAATGTGGTGAAAAAAAGCCACATTCCATTTTATTCAGCATTCCGATATTGGTATAGACCTTGCAAAACATTAATTAATATCCCAAGGTTCGAACACTTTTTTTTACAATTTTATAAATTGAATCTTACGATCTACAAGTCTCACACATGTAAACCATGCATGGCACCAGACGATGTCCTGCTTTTTATAAATCCTCAAATGAATCCACATGAATGAATCCAAATCCACACAGGTTAAAATCAGTTTAAAATTTTACGTTTTACGGTATTATTTGTAATAGTTCTCAGCGAGTTTAATTCAATTATAACAAAATTTGAACTAATTGAACTAATTGAATGAAATATATAAATATACACTTATAATATTTATATTATTTGTTAATGAAATTTGATATCACAACATATTAGAAAATTAAATTACCTTCCATGATGAGTTGGTCAGCATGATTTAATATGTTCTAGCAAGTGTTGCGAGTTCTTTTCCAGCCAATTCAGTACGGCAACTTAGGTTATAATCAGAGTTCTGTCCTGTACTGTACTCAATGTAGTTTTTCTTGAAACGCAGTGCTTTATGTAGGCATAATGGCGTGGTTATAAATAGACTGATATATACATAATGCGGTAATAAATATTTTCAGTGACCCACGCTTAATGTTTCCATCCGCCCAGTTGCCCGCACTACCAAATTACATTCCATTCAATACACATCCGAATATTCTTTCTGCCGCCTATATTGATTCCGTTTTACACGAAAGTACGAGAAGATTGAGAAATACAAAAAAAGTTTGCAAAGATCTTTCGACAGAAATACTGGACTATTCCTTGTGAATGCAGCTGTTTCTTCGATCATAGCAACGAGAATTTGCTTCCCAAACCCATTTCGAATTGAGGAAAAAATTTCCTGTATAGCTACTCGAATATCACATGATTTAGCAGATATCTATATTAAATGTCGTAACAAAGAAACTATACTAAGCTAAAAAGCACCTGCATCACGAAATCATCAAGAGTACTAATAGAGTTTGAAAAATACAATCAACACGAACAAGCTAGTGTGGAAGATACCGCAGATGTCGCTCATGTGTACCAGTGCATGTGCAATGTTAAAACAAATCATGATGTTATGAGGGAAATGGTAAGGAAGTCGCAGTGCATAGCTCGCTTTATAGGTGGGCGTTACATGCCCGGGAATGGTATGTGACATAAGAATTAAAGCATGCATATGAACATTTCAAACCTATTGAAATCTTTAAACCTGGAGTTTAAATCACAATTTAAGGAGATATAATCATCATCAAGTATTGAGCATTTCGTGCAAGAAATGTGCTTCGAAGTTCGATGTCATGCCGCCTTTCTGCTCCATATCACAGGTTAATTTAGGCGAATAAATGCAAAATTATTGGAGTTCAGAGGATTGTTCAGCTCACAATATCCTGGACTTGATTTTTTATGACCATGCAGTCGAGCGTCGGTTCGCTGAACTATACTATAGTCAAAGATTTTTTAGTTTATATATAGTTGCAATTTATGTACAGTTTTATAGCACATAAACATGCGAATATATATACTATTCTTATATAGCTTTCTAAAAAAATAATAGTCTAAAAAATTTATGAAGGAAGTTTAATGGAAATTTCAAAAACTTATGTGGGAGTTGCACTAATGAATGATGTCATTCCCCCAATTTATCAATTTTTAAAGGATACATATATAGCAACTAAGCGATGTACTCCTGACACATTAAATAATCACTCGCCATGCGTGGACATCATACATGGACATTGTACTGTAGTTGAAGTACATCCTTAAAACGCCAACCTGGATTTGACCTACATGCACAGGAACTCTGCTTGCAAATATATCTCACAAATAACTATAGCTCGTAATGCATGACGAACGATCGGAAGGAAATTTCAACTGGGTTGTGTAAGCTTTATTGAAATCAAGCAACTTTAACTTGGTAGAATGATTAAAAATCTTCTCATGTGTGAATGTGATTTTATATTTTGGTTCAAAAAACTCACATAGAGATCTTCTAGTCATCGTGTATACGACTTTAGACACTATCAAAACATCAACACCATACATGTATCGTATATGATTTTGTTGTAGTCGATATAATTCGTGGGCGCGTTTCCGCTTCAAACAAATTACTTACGTGGTATGATTTACTGTGTGGGATATTATAATTGTGCAGATTTTTTGTTTTCTTACAATTGCTTTGATAAGCACAATAGCTACAGTTTCAGAGCAAGGCCGGACACTCGCAATTATCAAATAGGAAATTCATACGACTGACACAAGCTTCCTACATTGATGCTTTCATGCACGTCTTTTTTAGAAATTACTGCATGGTTTCGAAAAAGTGAAATCAGTTCGTTGAAAGGCGCGCGTTGAAATTATTTTGGTTGTTTCATGTTTTTAGCTGTACTTGCCCATGCATAGTTTTAATTGCATGATACCAAATAAAGGGTCATATGTCATACATTATATTACAACATTTGCATCCCGGAAATTTGACAAACTTGAATAAAAATTACAATAAGGAAATAGTGATACGTTTCAGGTCACATTCCCGTTGCATTATTTATTGAAATATCTTCACCTGCATGCATACAGTTGTAGTAGGTAGCTTTGATGCGTACAGCTGAGCATAGCCTCTGAAATTTTGCGCGGGGGAACGAGTAACCTCAACTATCATTATAATTATACGGGTTGCGTTTTCGAAATACTGGACGTTATGTTATGCAAGTCGAGCTCGCATACATTTCTAAGTATCATGTAAAACCTCTTTATATCGTTTATGATTTCTTTGAGGCCAAGTAGTTCATCAACAATTGACCATTCCGAAGTCGCAGCATATTGCTAAGGGACTGGCCAAAAAAAGGCTCTACCCCCGAATCAGCCCCATGATGCATACTGCAACTTTAAAATCGTAATATGTCCTCTTTTTCATCATTTCGTCGCTTCACGATAATATGAAAATATTTGCAAGTTTTACTTCATGTCCATAAACTTTACGTCACTCAGCAGGAGAAACTGTCTGGGTAAGGGCCTGGGGGCGGGTGAAAGAATCTTGTATTGTTGACGCTCCATATCCACGTCCGTTCTATATTTAGATTAAAAATAATTTGATTTTTATAATCGAAAAAAATCAATTTCACTTGATCACAAACTCTACAGTGAACATGCAGCAAGCACGAATTCAAATAAAAAAATAGCAAAGCCAACAAAACAACTATGCATGCAGAAAACCGAATAATATAAAAACAACCAATTAAAAAGAGGTTCTTATATATTTTCTTAACATTATGGCGCAAAAAGCTAGGGCAAATGTTTGACAAGCTTTCAGCCAACTTACATCACAATATATCCTGCTATGTTCGTCCGAACAAGATCTTCCTCAGGATCTGACGCCATACTTAGACCAAGAACGCAGTGAATAAGATCTTTACCTGAAAATAAAACAAGTTGTGTTAGTAAACACACACCACACACATAAAATGAGATAAGGAAATGATCATTGGAATGAATGGATAATTCATTTCTCGCATGCAAACGCTAATTTAGTAAATACGATATATTCTGGGATTTTCGATGATAACTAAACTGATGCGTTAATAAGCCACATAGCTTGCTGTCCTTCACCTGGTTGCATTGGTACTAGTTTCGTTTCAATTTCATCCTTTTGCATTCCGATGGGAAGACAGGAATCTGGCACTGCAGGGGCTGTTGGAAGGAACATCAATACATTTTACCCATACGAAATTGATAAGCAACGCGAAATTGTCTTGGGAACACATCATAAAGAGCTACCTTGGTTTAAAAAACACTGAATCGTGCGTATAGCGCTACTGAAAGGGTCTGGGCATAATTTTTTCCCCTTAATTGTGAAGTTAAAGCAGACGTTTTAATTCGAAACAGATACAAGTTAAGGTGGTCAATAGAAGCAGCAAACAAGAGTCATTACTACCTATTGAGTTGCTGTATGGAACTGTATAGTATCTATAACAATTAGCACTCATATTCAATAAGTATATTAGCTGTAAGTGGTACAAGAATATTATTTAATTTCAGCCGATGGCAAAGACAAACCTCCTATTTTAAAAACCTTTACATCCGAGAATTTTACTTCAAATGTATGCGGATAAAAATTATTTTTTATCCCGTAAAAATATTCACGTATCCTTTCATTTCTTGATTCTCGCCTGAACTGTTGACTTCGGGTAACAACCTAGGATATACATGAATAGATTTCAGTGTAGAGTAACATAGTAATCTAATTATTATACTGTACGTGCAGTACCCAATTCTTACCCCACCGGACTTCGGAAGATGAAGTACTTCAATATCTTCACCAAATTGTTTCTTGAAGTCATTATAAAGTCTCTCTTGATCAAGCACAACGATCACATTGACTGGAAATAGGAAAGAGTAAAATAAATCACATACAAACATCTAATTTTCATATCGCTAAACCATCACTGAAAACCAATTCAGAAACACGATGAAAAGCAGTCAAAAGTTTGATTTTTCTTGGAAAAAATACTTTACATAATGGATGATGTTTATCTTAATTACGTTACACTCCGAGATTTTTTTATTCCAATACTTTCGTACCATCAAAGGCTTTAGCAGCATGAACCAACATCTTATAACCAGCCCCAGTGACCCAACCACAAGTATTAACAACAACACCACCAATACGAGCTGAAATGCAATAAATTTATTAGCGCGTATTTTTCACCAGACAAGTGCATTTACCCGCCCAACGAACACGTTGCCCTGGATTATTATTATTGTCATTGAATAAACCAATTCACCTAACTACTGTGGTACCTTCACTATTCTTTTCAAATCTTTCTTTAACAACATCTGATATTTGAGATGTTAAAACATCGTACAATTTTGAATTGGCACTTGGTGATGTGTGTCCAAAATTATACACTAGTGGAGCATGAATGGCAAATCCTTAAAAACAAAAAAACATCATTAATTAATACACAGTGGATTATAAGACGTTATTGGTATGAATGTAAGTCTATGATTGAATTCTATCTATTTTTGGTCACACTGAAAGGACGAGTATAGTGGATAAGTTATTTTATATTTCAAATTTTAAAGTGTACATAAGTTTCAATACCTTCTTCTATATCAGCTGGTCTTTCTATTAAAAGTGCACCTGGAAATAAAGAGTATTTTGGATTTTAAGGGTTATTTAAAGAAGGGAAGCTTACTGGAACATTTGACAAGAGCATAATTACAAGTACACTTCTTCACATAGTGAACACGATTTTACCTGTGGATCCTGGAATTGAGATGGATCCCTTTAAACAAATCAAACATATATTGTAAACAAATTGCAAGATTAAAAGAAACTATACAAGATTGACCACAAATATTCAACAATTTACATTCAATAACAAACCTGTCCAACATCAAGATCGCAATAAATCGGTCTTCTCCCAAGCCTAACAGCATAATTCAAAAGTATCCGGCACAGAGTTGACTTGCCAACATCTCCTGGACCAGTTATCATGATCTAAGTAAAATTTAACACCACTAATAAAATACTACGATTACTATAAAACACTAACATTAATAAACTAAGAAGCTTTTCTGGAGTTTTCCCACGTAGTTTTCTTGCAACCTAATTCAAAAATCACACATTATATATATGATAAAAACTCGCACTTTCATGCTTCCCCTCTGCCACCCACTTTACTGATTATGTTTGAAATGAGAAAACGGTTGAGAACTGATAGCCTCAGTCTGTCCTGACTAAATACATACTCTTGGGCCTGTCAAACCAGGATTCTTCTTGGCTTTTTCCCTCATTTGATCAAGAGCGGCATGGAGATTGAGATACATCAACATTGGTGTTTCTCTTGAAACATACGCCCCATCAACAGCTCCGGAGATGTGAAGAAATAAATATTAAGGAATATATTTCATCTGACATCTGGCATTGATTTCCCTTCTTTTTCTTTTTCTGATTCAATATTAGATTTTTAATGTAGGAATGTGTTAAATTGTATTCACCGATCATTCTAAGCTGCTACACATGTCAAAAAGGATATTTCAACAATGCAGCCATCCCATGTAAACACAGCAATTTTATCACCAGGTTTAAAATTAAATTTCTTGTGCAACACTAATTCTGTGCCAAATATTTCTGCCTGTCCTTTCAACAACTAAATATGATGGAGGACTAGTGAGAGGAGTTGTATTAAAGGCAGGAGGGGTCTGATGGAGGAGAGGTTTAGAGAGTTTTAACATACAACTAATTGTGCCGACTTTTTGCCTTGAGAATCATCAGTTTCTGGTACTTCAAACCGTAGTTCTGTCTCGCGTTCTAAAGTCCATCTTGAATCTTTCTGCTGAATTGAGGACATTTAATTGAATTAAAAGCATATTCATAATAAATAATTGTCTTATATAGTATTCCCTAAAATCTACTATGAAAGAAGGGTTAAAATATGAAAAAAAAATTGTTTCGAAGCGTTTTCGAACTCGTGGCAATTTAATAGCCAGGACGTAACACCTACATTCATAACCTTTTGGCCTAATTTTCGTCTCGAATTAGCTGAGCTCTCTATTAAACAACGTATGACAAACGTTGTGAATAGCGCTGGTCGTCACTCGTCAGCTTTTAATATGTAGCAGCACTATTAGTATTTATTACTATGGGGTTTTATTCCATTAATTTCAAGTCAGCGAAGAATCGAAGATTAAAACCATATAAAATACCTCCTCCAACTTTTTCTTCTCCTCACTCATACTGACAAAAATTTTAATAAGGATAAAATTCTAACGAAATGTGTACTAAAATCACTGACTAAAATTCAGAAAATAATGTTGAAAAAAATGAAAACATTTCGCCAGCGGCGGCGGCCATATTGTTTTCTTTGTTGTGTTGACGCTGGTCAAAAATTGTGCAGAATCTTGTAGGCCCCAGTCCCTTTCAGGAAGAAAAATTAAAAAAGAGAAAAAGAGCGGGAAAGTTTAAAGACAAGAAAAGTATGAAATGAAACTCACGACGTGAAAAGGTTGAATATTTCATTTTATATATATTTATACATATTTGGAAAACGCAGTATTTACATACATATAGTAGATGTGTTGCTGGTGGTTTGCAATTACTTCCATTTCTTGTGTGAGCCTATATAAGTGGGCCATATCACTCAATTTACTAGTTCAATATTAAGTCATTATATACACTATAATTTGATTTAACATTTTTTGTATTTTATTAACAGGTGCAAGAGGAGACACTGTAGGTTAAAATGACTTGGAGTAAGGTTTGGTTTGCTTGGATAACAAGTGATGAATGGCAAAGTGGATTATATTATTTTCTTCATAACTGGCAATTACCAACTACCACTAACATTACCAGTGGCAATGGTAACCCACTAATCAATACAACAATGCATGCCTCACATGAGTGGTTTATGAAATCATTGTTGCTTTTAATAGCATTACTGCTGCTCAGTAATTTTTTTAAAGGTAAGGCAATTCAAACTTTAATTGCCTTTTGATTGCTAAAACTTAAACTGCCACTTCAACTATAACTTGTGACATCATTTCCCTTCCAAGACCTATTCTATCAGTAATATAAGAAATAAGCAAGTAAAGGATATCTTAGACAAACTTATATAAACTAAAGTCCAAGTGAACTACACATTATTGATTTGCTGATACAACCTCAAATACAGTTGGCACTAATTCACTAATAGGTACAGGCAAATCCAGAAAGAAGATAAAAAATAGAATCCCAAGATCTCTTTTTGATATGGCAAAGGTATATATAAAGTTGATCAGTAAAATATATTATACATTGAAGCATGATGCAGCCTTTTTCCCTAGCACCCAATACCATTTTAAGGACCCATCTTCCAAATGAAAGATTGGTGGAAACGTGTGGTGCATGCCTCTTGGTCTTTAATGGCTTTGTGAAAAAGAAAGCCTATGAAAATGGGCTTGGCAAAGCCTATTTATTGAGGTAGAAAATGACATGTTATCCCAATAGCACTGTTATTGATTTTTAGCGTGCGTACAAGCCCGAGACATGCGACGCTTTGATTCGCTTTCTAAAGGATCAAAAAGATCTTGATGTGAATGAAAGGATGCCAGTGGAAACGAATGATAGCCAAATGACATTGTTCTTGGTAAGTATAACTCTTATGGATTACGTTCCAATATAACCAGGGAGCAGCGTGGAAGCGTCTTCGAACAACTTAGCATCAAATGTTGGTATAACAACTGCCTAAAATAGACAAAACACTTCTCGACGTTACTACCTGGGGGCCTTCGTCAGGATACACTCGGTTGTGTGCAGTCATCATTCTGTATGATTTGAATATATGACAATCACGGACAGAATGGATCGAAACCGGGCTTGAATTGTAGAACATTTTGATTAATCAAAGTTTTCTTAATTCTATGTTTCTAGTGTGCTTGTTTTTCAGGCGACGAAAGATTGCTGAGATTTATGCTTTGTTATGGTAAGTGAGATTGCCATTGACATTGAACACAGTTACTAATTGACGGCATTGTTGAATTTTGAACGACTTTTTTAAAAACTGAATAATTGGGTACTCATTAAGTAAATCGAAATGACCGCGCTACTCAACAGCGAGCTTGAAATAGCGTTTATTAAGCGAAGTGAATAAGCTATATATCTCATCAAAATTGCAATGAAGTCGATCGCACACAATTTTAGATTTCTTCAATTATATATTACTACATTTAATGAGAAATCCTTTAAATATACATTTTACAGGTGCTGACATTCACGGAAGAACAAAATGGGCTGATAGTCCCCTACATCTTGTCACATTTACGCTTTCTAGCAATAAGAACAAACGTTTTGGTGCCATTGATGTTTTGTTAGAGGCAGGTAATTATGACAAGGCGAACTCTCTCATCCCTCTCAGAGACTGACATGACCAGTTGGTTTGCAACCTCTCGTACCCAGGTCTTACTTTCGTGACAGGGGTGGAAAGTGCCCTGCGACGGAGGTTGGTTGGTTTGTAGGCTACACTCTACCAATCTTCCTTCACCTGCATTCTAGCTATATCACAAAAAAAGACTATAGTTACAATTGAATTTCAGGTTGTGATATCAACTGCAAAAACTGGATAGGTAATACTCCACTATCTGTCGCTGCATCACACGGAAATACAAGACTTATTAAGTATCTTCTTCGCAAAGGTATCAAAATTTTAATTGCATCTGATAAGCCTTCTCAATTCAATCGCGGACATGCCGACCAGTGTTACAGCTGTAGCCACTTAAATGCATGACATGAATCATGTTCCCACATTGTAGGTGCAGATCCAAGTATTGGCAACAACAAAGGAATATATCCAATTGATTTTGCTAATAATGCAGGTATTGATATTAACCATCAATATAGAATGCATGATGTGATTATACTGTTTGAAAAAGAAAGCCATATGACGTACGGTATAGAAATATGTAGAAACATATTTAATATATATGTTTACGCGTTTTGGGGGAGAACGAAGGTTTTAATTTCTCCAAAATAGTAAAATTACATAATTTTGAAAAACGCGATCTTCTGTATAGCTGGTACCAGCTGGTACATTCTCCAACCTCCGCGCATCAACATTCGATTTTTCTGTTTATATCCAGACAATAGAGAGGCTGCGGATTATCTTAAATTTGATGTACCGAATCCATATGTTTGGGACGTCATTGAACCCCATACTCCCCCGCGCATTAAACTTGGCTTACAAAGTCCATCTAAGCAGCATCTCGTTGACTCAACGTTTACAAGAAGACAAACAATGAGAGAAAAACATGTTTTAAACTAAGTACGGTAACACAGATTTTGATATTTCATAAAATTTTAAAGAATATTGGGACATTTGTTATAAATAATTTATATACTGTGCGTGAATATATGTATTTTATTAAAAACCAATGAGATTGAAATTTATAACCTTGTTATTCACATTTGAATATAATAAAACTTGAAGTATTTAGCACTTCAACGTTTAACCTTTATGTGTAGATGCGCATTCCACCTTTTAACAGGCAGTAATGTTAAACAAGGCAAGCAAACCTGCAGGGATGGATCAATAATAACCCTGACATGCAAAGATACCAAAATATTTGAAATTTTATTGAAATATTTGATCGAGACAACATTTGTCATGCAAAGCAACTTCAGGGGCCATGCAGTTGTATAAAAGACTAGCTAACTTTTAACTCGAGTTAAGGACAGAATTGGCCAATCAAAGTTGATGTGTATTTCTGAGTTAACTACGATACAAAAACTATGCAAAATGTTATTAAAGAGTTTTATACATGCAACCAGCCCCGGACCATTTTCATATCACAGTCGAAATTACACATTTTGTATGCGTCTTGAAAATTATGCTTGGCCTGTTTTCGCTGCTGAAATTGAATGAAATGATATAGTATAACTGTCAATATAGATAAGAATATAAAAAGTCTAGGAACCCTCGTCTGAAAAACGCTTGGACTTTGGGCAAGCCCATGCAGGAAAAATGTATTTCTACATTAAATGCAAACCTGCATTTTATGCGTGATAACGTTCGTCTATTTGCCACAAACAGAAATTTTTGACCATAATTCTTTATCTTCGCGATGATTTGTTAGAAATGTTCCTGTTACCCAACGTACAAATGAAGATCCACTTTCTCGTCCCGCAGTTATGAGATATTTTGCCTGTGACAGAAGAGTCAAATCCACTAGGGCGATAGCACCACGATCTGAAATCTCACTCGTAGAAGGATCGTAGTTATATACCACTCCGCCGACTCTGGATTTGAGAGAGCTAAACATCCCCGGGAACGGATTGTGGTCAAGTTTAGCATCAGAAACATACTTTTGTAGTGTATCTGAGCCGTATTTTGACATGTCTGAGGCAAGATAAACATGCGAGACTCCTGATCTTTCTTTAAGTACCTCTATTACCCCAGCTATAGCATTGATGCAATTCTTCAGAAACTTAATGTCGTATTGATGAGGAATTAGAATAAACTCCGCACGAAGATATACGGCAATGAAATGATCTGGCAGAAATTCCTTTCTGAAACGACTAACTTCATTTTGAATTGGTTGGCTGGGTTTAAGTGCATATTGAATTGTATTATGTGGGAATTTTAAATTGTTGTCCGTGAAATGACTTCGATACGTTCCGCCTCCAATTCCTCTCCACAGATAAATGTTTAAACATTTTGTGCCACCAACTATGTCTCTTTCAAGAATATTCCAGTCCGTAATGATCGTGGGATTTATGCAAAACTGTTTTTTGCTGGGAGCAAGGCCAAGGTTTTTGTCTAGAAACGAACAGTCGGTCCAGCCTCTCGTTTTTGTTTTTTCGAGAATGGAATCGTATGTTTCTTTGGAGATGTTTAAGTTCTCACTGTTCCATTTTTTCGCTTCTTCTCCGATGTACAGAAAATGTATTGTTACATGGTTGGGGTCCGTCGGTTTGCATTCGACATGGTAATCTTGTTTATCAACCATTGGCGAATACCCCGACTGGTCTAATAGGTTATCTAAGTGTTTCAAGTCAAAAAGGGTTCCTAACGATCTAACATTCTTTTTTTTCTTGCTAACATATATCGAATTGCTTACGAACGGTCTTACGACTTTTCGACCTCCAAATTGCGCTTGACCACACAGACTTAAAAGGCTAAGCGTCCCCATTGACAATTGCTCAGTATATTGTGCATGGACGATAACGTATTTGTCAAAAGAACGATCGACACGATTTTCATCTTCGATCTTCGGGGGAAAATTTATTTCTTGATAGCCGAATGATAAGGTTGGTTTCTTGTCGTAATTTTCCTCATCAAAATCTATCTGCAGCCCACGTCCTAAACCCTTATTAATCTGGCTAATTAAATCATCATCATGGAATTTGGCAGTGATCTCGTTTCTAAAATTTGCTTGCAAAGGAATTGAAGTGGGACTTGTTTTCTCCACATTTAAATTCACTCTTTTGAGCTGAAAGTTCGCACACCAAGTTGCAGATAACGACAATATGGTTAACAGACCAGGGAGATAATATATTGCTCTTTTTAGAAACCTGAGGAAAAACAGAACGATAAGAATTAATCGTCGATTAATGACGTGTCTGCATCTGCTATTATATTAATTATCACGCATATATATATGGTTTGTCGAATGCTGTCCGATACCGACCATTCACTATTTCAACTGATAAGGAAAAAAAATATTCAGCAACGAATATTTGACTCTGTGGCACAATAGTTTATGATCCGTTCCATATAAGGAAGAAGGTATCTTTCAGAATCAGGCATGCATGGTTGTACATGAATGATAGCTTTCATATAAACCATTTACTCTAGTTAGAAATAATCGTCTGACAAAGGAATAGAAATTTATTTAAGGATGCTTCAGTTCTATCATTTGTAGTATGTAATATGGATGTACACACTAGCAAAGGCAGAGTTAGAATAAATACTACAACTCCAATTGGACATCTAATTGGTTGATTTTTATTCAAAAATATTATCTCTCCATAGCATATCATAGCACTGTTTTAAAAAAAGATTTTTTGAATTTAGAATTAAGGCGTGCAATTATTCAATCTAATATAGGCTATATATATACTGATTGAAAATAATACTCACATGATGAAGTTTGCAACAAATATTCAATATTGATAAGATAATATTCGTGTATGAAGACCAGTTATTAGACTTCCTTCTATATTAAGCATATATATAAAAACATTGTAAGGATCACGTATCTAGTATTCCACGATTTGATGTTTTTTGTTGTTGTTGACCGATTTCTTCTCTAGATCCTGCATGAGTGCTTCAGCAAGGAAGCTAGAGAGAGGAGATACATAAATGTGCCTGAAATTTGTCTGTAGTAGGAGTTTTGAAAAGATAATCCAGTAGAAAGGAGGGATTAAGAAGGTCAAGAATGTCGTTTTTGTCTAAATTAGTTAAGCTTTTCCATGAGTTGCTGTTAGTACTGAAGTAGTTCGTATGTAATGCGTTTAGCTGTGTCTATATAGTGGTATGGATGTGAAAAGAGAAACTACGTCAAACGCCAGATATCATGATATAGTACTAGGAATGTTGTTAAATATCAGACGCCACTTAAAAACAACCAATCAGGCGCTTTCGCCGTGTAAAAAGTATTAAAGAACACTTCCAAACTTAGATCATTTATATAACAGCTATACATATCATAACCATGTAAATAATGAAATAATGTAGATATTCTATGAATAAAACGCGAAGTACCGAGTGGAAATATTTCGAAAGCCCAATAAATTTTTTTCTCAATCCGGAGAACTTCTATTGATAAACATAATGATATGCCTGGATTACAAATCTCTAAAATTTATATAATTTTTTTTGGATAAGGACCGTTACGAGTTACGTTCACAAATGCTAAACTTGCATACCATAAGACAACATAGTTTAGTATTTTTATAAAATATAATATTTGTTTTTGGATTGAAAAAGACTCAAAGTCACATTTCATTCATTATAAATTTCCTACAAAAGGGTCTTTAGTTTATATTTTATTTGACTTGTTTAACTTTAAAAAAGCAATGAGACCTACCTGAAATGAGAGAAACTTCTAATAACTTTTGAGTTCTAACTTGGTAAATTGATAACTTGAGTCTGACTTGATAAGTTGCAGGTCGTGAGTTTTATGTGGTTAATTGCTTTGATCTTGATGCATAGTAATGAAGTCACGTTCACCACTATCATCATAATACCACTATCATCACAATACCACTATCATCATAATGTATACGAATATATGTATGTAGCTACGTTCGTATGCGACAATCGGCATCGCAGATCCAGTGTTTCAATTTGATAAAAAGTGTACAAAAAATTTGCGGTAAATAATAAACCGCTGTTGCTAAACTGCATGACATGCAGGGAAGAACTCGCATGGATGCATGGCGAAGTTTCTTTGAAACCTACAAAGCTGCATTATAGCTAAAATACGGTAATTTTCCGCACGTAGACGTATTCCACTAATCATATACTTTCCTCTCAGACTATGTTGTTTAATTGTTTATATTGTTTATGTTTTATTGAGTGGAATTTTAAATTATTAATGATGTTCGTATGGTGTTCGCCACTGACACTGATATCTTTCAGTCAACTGAATCAGTTCCGAAAACCTCTTGTTTCATTGAAAGAGTTCATCAATATACGACTTCAAATTGGCGTTGAATGTGGCATAGCAACTTCCTAAAATAGACAGAAATAGTTTTCGACGTTTTGACCTTGAAGTGCATGTGTATGCTATATTGAAAATGCAAATTTGACCGCATAACTCATATAAAAAGTTTTAAAAACTTATTTCGAGTCTCTGTCACCATTGAAACTTGATATGTTTCTCGCCGGCAGTCTAGGGATTTAAAGCACTGAGCCTGTTTTTTCATTGTTCATTATTAAACCTTGACTAATTCACAGCTAGTTACACCCACAAAACTGATTATCATCATAGGTATCAATATCCATCTCGAATAAACATTTTTTAAAAGGCAGCGAAAAAATGTGAACAGATTCCTTTGATGCACAAGAATTCGGCCGAACTTAGCAAATCAGAGGAGAATGATGATGTATGTTTCGTTGACGCTCAGGGACGACGGAAGAGGTTAAGACCGGAAATTTAAAAGTATAGTGTAGGTATAAAGTCTTTTATAGAAATTCTACTGTACCATTAAAGATATTTGACGTTTTGGAACGATAGAAATGGATGCTACCAGTTGTAAAAAGTATACAAATATAGGGCGTACATCCCTAGCAACTTGTGCAAAATAAATGTACACTGACACTATACATTAAGGCTATATGATGCATGCATGATCTAACGTTA